CCCCCAAAGTACCAACTAGATTCACTTTCTGATCGAACGAGGTACTGAAGTCAAAAATCGAAGCATTTTTACTGCCCCAAAACGTGATGACAGACACAAAAAAAAAAAAACACATCATGGTAAAATCAATACATTCATCGCTCCGCTCAGAATCTAAAAAATAACTTAATAAGAAACTTTTTAAATTTGATTTGATGAGTGACTATTTAGTGTCAAAAGAATCGCCCAGTTGCATTACATATAAAGGTCATAATTCAGAGAAACATTTTAATTTTGAATACCAAATGGCACTGAATATAAATTAATGTACTTTAAAATTGATAMTATACTGTTTGTTTTTTTTATCAAACTGTAATTCTACAGTTTAATAGATAAATAATAATACCTTATACCTATGAATCCTAATTGTTCCTATAACTAAATATAACTGCATATWTAAATGTAAATTTATATTTACATGATAACTAAAATATTTTAAAAGTATATAATCAAATTTAAAAAAACTCCTTCATATATACCCTAGTTATTCATCCATAACAATTAACAATTACATATTATATTCCATGATTCTATATTGTATGTTCAAATTAATTTGTATTTATTTTATTGTCTACTCATACTTTGTAAGTTATAGTTCACACCTAACTCCTGACAAAACTGCGATGACTATAAAAGCAATAAAAATTAAATATTATTTTATATTATCTATGTTTTATTTTCATCAGTAAGCATTTATTATTTTCACTAATAATTACTAATTATTCATACTTTTATTCAAATGATAAAACATATTTTATTAAATAGCTTATTCAAGTAAACAATATAGATATCTACCATTCTATATAATATAATATGTCAATGTGTATTCAGTACAACTAGAAACTAGATAAAATGTAATTCTAATGTATACCTAAACTATAATATATTTTTGTCATATTATATCATACATAAATACAACACATACAAGTACAAGTTTCATTTTTACAGTCATAACAAAACCTTCATAAGTATCGTAATGTATTTACATATAATTATAATATGTGTTACGAAAGTATAATATTAAATTGGGCGATATAAACGTGTGACTGAAATGGTAACAATTATTATCATGTCTTGGGCTTGTCACGGATGACACTTTTTTTTCATCCAACAGGTGTGCCCACGACCATGGACGATTTGACACTCAGTTAATTTATACAAGATTACATAAGTCAAGCTACAACTACTAGATCAGTATGAGCAAACAATACTGATTACTGTTTAGTTGATGTGAAGATTCACATGATGTATGTAAAAGAAAGGGGGATGTGTATATTGTGTGTCATATGTACAAGGCGTTATTTATACAAAAATAAATTTTTATTCAATAAAGAAATAAATATTGTATGAAAATACTATAAATTATTTGAATTTAAATTATTGGAATCATAACTGAATTTAATAAGCCGATGCACTGGGAGACTTTTTGTAAGCTGATGCACTTGGGCTTTGGTAACCTTGTGGTGACTTATACAATTGACTTGCGGAAGAAGATTGTCCATAAGATTGTTCACTAGCTTCTGTGCCATATCCAGATGAACCCTGTGGTTTCTGATAGCTCGGTTGTTTTGGTGCAGAAGTTGGTGATTGTCCGTAAGAGCTAGGGGCAGAAGTCTGACCGTAAGATCCAGGAGCAGATGTTTGTCCATACGATCCAGGAGCAGATTTTTGTCCATAAGATCCAGGAGCAGATGTCTGTCCGTAAGATCCAGGAGCAGGAGTTTGTCCGTAAGATCCAGGAGCAGGAGTTTGTCCGTAAGATCCAGAAACGGATGTTTGTCCATACGATCCAGGAGCAGATGTTTGTCCATAAGATCCAGGTGCAGATGTCTGGCCATAGGCTCCTGATTCTTTTCCATATGAAGACGAAGCGCCATTTTGTCCATRATTCGACTGTTGTTGGTATGCTTGTTGTGCAGCTTCCTCAGCGGCATTTTGTTCCAATGATTGAAGAATTTCAGCTGGTATTGGTGGTGGTGTAGGTAAATGAGAGCCTTTAGGAACAAATCCGTTTTCATCAGCTGTGTAAGTCACTGTAATGAGTTGTCCATCTTCTCCAGGATAGCTGAAAGATCCATAGACAGATTGAATYCCTTCTGGGCCACCTGGCTTAAGTTGGCCATACTCAGATACTGAAATGCCATTGCCAGTTTCGTAACTAAAAAAAAATATTTATGCTATCAAATATTTATTATTGATTATTATCTTTTRTTTATTACCTATATGAGTAAGAGCCATCTCCAAGATTTGGTTGGTTAGACTGAGATAGAATAGGGATAACTTCAGCTGGTCCAGCGATATTGCCTGGTGCAAAAGCGTTGAACCCATTGTTACCTGGCTTGTAAGCATCAAATTGTGCATTAACAGGTGCACTTGTTCCTTTAACTTCAGATGGTCCAGCGATATTGCCCGGTGCAAAAGCGTTGTATCCATTATTACCTGGCTTGTAAGAATCAACCGATGCACTTGGTCCTTTAGCACTTTCGTATTCAGATCCAGCTTTTTGGTATAATGTCGACGAAACAGGCTTTGGGCGGGAACGTTGGCCGTATGACGATTGAGAGGCTTGTGATTGGTATTGTGATGACGGTCCAGATGATTGATATTGTGATGACAATCCMGATGATTGGTATGACGGTRCAGCAGTCGATTTTGAACCATACGATGCAGGGGAAGGTTGATAACTTGATTTTGCACTTTGGGAATATGATTGGGCAGCTGGTGTAGATTGATAAGAAGAAGCAGCAGCGCTAGACTGGTAAGATGCAACACCAGATTGATAGTTAGATTGTCCAGCTTGAGAGTATAACTGTGAGTTAAGAGCAGATGATTGGTAAGACCCAGAACCAGATGGGTAAATAGAYTGTGCGGCTTGAGAGAACGCTGGTGATGCTGGAGCCGACTGGTARGAACCAGCTCCAGATTGGTAACCAGACTGTGCATTTTGCGAATATGATGGTACAGCTGGGACCGACTGGTAAGATCCAGCACCAGACTGGTAACCAGACTGTCCAACTTTTGAGTATTGTAAAGTTGCTGGAGTAGACTGATAAGAAGAGACACCAGACTGATAACCAGACTGTGCACCGGATCCCGCGCCAGATTGGTAACCAGAGAATGCATTAGTTTTGTATGCGGGGGCTGAGGTTGATTGTTGATACGATCCAGAAGTAGATTGATATCCAGCAGCTCCACTACCTTGATAACCTTGATAGCCAGTCGGAGATCCAGAAGAGTATGCTAAAACTTCAGGGGATTTTTGGTAACTTCCAAAATTTCCTTGATAAGATGAAGGAGAAGATGGTGTAGTCGGAGATCCATAACCAGAAGATGCTTCAGATTCATAGCCTTGTGGATGAGCCGCCGCAAAAGCGACTAATGCAATAAATAAAAACTGCAAAACAATAAATTATTGATACGTATATAAATATATTTTAGTACAATTTATCTAGTACCTACAATAACAAAACTAAACATATCATGTATGTTTTATTTATAGTTGGTTTTAAAAATCTTACTGCCTGATACTCTAATCAAAATGAATACTTATCATAAGCTATGAGAAAATAAAATTGCATTCGTT